TAGAACCAATGGCTAAAAATGAATAGATAGAAGATTCTTGTCCATGTATGTCTTTGAAAGAATTAATATATGATTTCTGAGAAAATGACTAGTGGAAGTTCTTACAGTGGAGAACAAAGGATCTGATGCAAAGTTTACAAAACTTAAGAACAAGCCACAAACCTAGGAGTTTTTTCACTTTTGTCTTTTTATTCCTGATAATGTTTTGAGTTATATTGTATCTATTTTATAACTTCAGCAATATTATTATATGAGAAGATGTAAAGTAAAAAGGTAAACATATTTCAGGTTAATTAGTTCAATAAACAAGTCTTGTGATGGCAAACTATTCAGTTAGCACTAGCTTTATTTGTGTTCAGTAAATATATTACTCAAAAACATACAAGAACTCCTTAGTTATGGAAACTATATTACGATTATTAGAGAAATTGAGGTTGACCAAAAATATAGTTAGAGAAGTATCTCTTATATCAATGTAGACCTATCACAAGTTATTTCTACCAGTACTTGTTAACACTGTTTACTGTTGTTTCATGCTATTTTAGCAATTATATAACTACTTCAATAAGTCAAGATACATAACATAGAAATAACTGATGAAAATAAAACAAGTCAGACCTTACTAGACATAATGAAACTTCCTGATCAATAATATTTAAAAATGCCATTTTTCATTTTTTTTTAAATAGTTGCTTCGTAAAAGCTTGTATGAACAGGCAGGCAAATAAATATGCCATTACTACGACAACACAGACAAAAAGAAATTTTTAATGTTTCTTAAAAACAGCATTTTGCAACAAAATTTTCAAAAATCACAATGCAAGATATTATACAAATACTAAACCAAATTATATTTATATCATTTTTTTCAAGCACAAAATACACATGTAGAAAATGTGCACCAAGTTTCATGCAATTAGGTGAGAACAAAACAAATGGGTGACCCAATGTCATTCTGCTGACCCAGAAAGGATTAACTCTTTCAGTATGGGCTTGGTCCCTGAGACTGACCTCGTAACATTGTGCTTGTTATAGTTTATGCTATAACTTTTAAATTAGTAAGCATTTGTTAACAAAATTTGGTAGATTATCAGTAAACATTACAATGCTTTCATATGC